GAAGATAACTACACTCACAAAAACATAGGCAATAGATAATCCAATTTTACGAAACACAAAAAGATACAGGAGGGCGATATCCACACACAATGACACCACCAACAATAAATCCAAAACAAACAATAACCAACAATCAATGGACATTAATATCCCTCAATGTCAATGGTCTTAACCAGCCTATAAAAAGATACAGGCTAACAGAATGGATATGAAGACAAAAGACATCTTTCTGCTGTAAACACACCTCAACTCCAAAGACAGGCGTTACCTCAGAGTAAAGGGTTGGGGAAAAATTTTCCAATCAATGGGCCCAAGAAACAAGCTGGTGTAGCAATCCTAATATCTAACAAATTAGACTTCAAACTAAAATCAAACAAAAGAGATGAAGAAGGGTATTTCATATTCATCACAGGAAAAGTCAAGATGAAGAGACTTCAAGATGAAGTCTCAATCCTGAACATCTATGCCCCAAATACGAAGGCACCCACATTTGTAAAAGAAACATTACTAAAGCTTAAACCACACATAAAACCACGCACACTTATAGTAGGATACTTAAACACCCCGCTTTCACCACTAGACAGGACCGCCAGACAGTAACTTAACAAAGAAACAAAGAATCTAACAGAAGTTATGACCCAACTGGGTTTAACAGATATCTATAGAACATTCCATCAAAACACAAAAGAATATACCTTCTTCTCAGCGCCACATGGAACCTTCTCGAAAATTGACCACATGGTTGGCAACAAAGCAAACCTCCACAAATACAAAAGTATTGAAATAACCCCCTGTATCTTATCAGATCACCATGCTTTAAAGTTGGAATTCAACAGCAATACAAATTGCAGAAAACCTACAAACTCGTGGAAATTGAGTAACACCCAATTGCACCATTCCTGGGTTGAGGAAGAAATAAAAAAAAGAAATTAAAGACTTCCTAAAATTTAATGAGAATGTTGATACAACATGCCCAAACTTATGGGACACTCTGAAAGCAGTGTTAAGAGGAAAGTTCATAGCACTAAGTGCCCACATGAAGAAACTGGAGAA